AAAAGGTTCCCCCCCCCTCTAATATACATATGTGTATGTATACATATGTATATAATGTATATAATGTAATGTACTTTTTTACTTCTTTTTTTATATTTATTTTTTTACTCATGGAATCTCTTTTTTCCCGCTTTTTTCCCACCCCCCTAGCGGCCTGTGACTTCTTTTCGTTCGTGATTGTTATCTCTTTCTTTCTTTCTTTTTTTCCCCACCACTTTTTTTTTTTTTTTTCTTCTTCTTTCTTTTCCTTTGCCTCTTCTTGTGTCACAAGAAAAGCATCTCAGTCAGAAACAAACAAACAAACAAACAAACACGCATAAATAAATTGGAAGAAAAAAAAAAAAAAAAAAAAAAGAATGCATCATTGCTGCTGCGATAATTGTTGGGAAGTAGCGGGAAGAAAGTCCGTGCGTAAAAGGACATCGCCCTGATAGACCGGTGACACCATAGGGCTGTCACTGTTGTTTGCGTCCATTGGTAGAATGCCCATTTTGGAGCAGGAATATTGCGACGCACCTCCAAAGAGCCGACTTTTACTTTCCGTGAGGCTACCCAATGAATGCTGCCGTGTTGACGTTTCCGTTGGTACCGTGCTGGCAAAAGAGTCCATAGCCGAGGAAGCATGAGAATGACGCCCCTGTGCTGTACCCAACGACTTTATGGGAGACATTGGACCTGCCGCAACATTTGTCCCAAAGAAACACGGCATTCCTATCAGAGGGGTAATGGCACGTTGCTTTGGCGTACTGTGCGGGGTAACAATGATGTTGTGCCGGGCATCGTGATGGAAACGACATGCGCTCCCACGGTTACAGCAGCCTTCAGCGTAGTGTCGGCATGGATTAAGAAGCCTCTGCGAGTTTGTGTCGTTGTTTTGGAATGAATCATCGTATGGGTTGTGTGCATATGTCCATACCTCTCCACCAGAAGGCTTGCGAACGAGCCACATGCTCTTCGACGATCCAGAAAGAGGAGACTTGCCCCTCGACATTTCTGTTCTTTTTGCCTTCGTTGTTCCGGTTTCCATGCAAATTCCCGCCGCTTTTTTTTTCTTCTTCTTCTTTTCCTCCTCCAAATTTCCCCACTTTGCTTCACACAGACAGACAGACAGACTGACAGACAGACAGAGAGACAGAGAAGCCTATTCCTTCAACGCGGGTTCCTTTTTTTTAAAAATTCTCCGGTTGTATTCCCCGGCTGCTCGGTGCAATAACTTCGGCCCTCCTTTCTTTCTTTCTTTCCGTGTCGCTTACGCAACAAAACACCACTTTTCTTCCTTTCACTCTTTTTTCACTTTTCTTCTTCTTCCCTCTAACGCTCAATTTTGCTTTCGTTCCGCACATGTTAGTCAAACAAACGACAGAACACAAAAGAAACAAACAAAAAAAAAAAAAAAAAAAGAAAAAAAAGAGGAGAAGAAAATAACGGTGAGTTACGACAAGACATCGCACACCCACAGACATCGTGTGTGTACCAAAAACGAATAATCTTCCGGGCAGCTGGCCGGATCCTGAAATAATTTATGGAACCAAACAAGTTAAGGAAAAAGGGTTCGTTAGTTAATTGCCTCAATGTTTTCTTTTCATTCAATATATATAGAATTCTGTGGACCACTAGCATGGTGCTTTGTCCTTACTTAGGATCTGAAGTATTTATTACTTACGAAGTGGCAGACTTTGGGGTCCTCCAACCACAAGACACCGCCGCGTGGTGGGAATCAAAAGGGGGTGGGTGGAATGGCAAAATAAAAACAAATATTATCCAGCCACTATCGGCTCCCTGCCCCTACAAAGTCGCGTTCTTCCCAAAAGATTCATACGGTAGAGAGTACCATAAAGAATGCCTTCATTTATCAGGATATAAACATACATTAATTAAGTTAGCCAGCTCTCCCGCGATCATTCTTTTCACAAGCTCCTAAAAAAAAAAGGCCAGTAGCGTATACGCCAAAAAATAAATAAATATAGAGCAGCGACCCTCCCTCTACTCTCCTTTTTTTTTTTTTTTTTAAGAAAAACATATTACCAAAGCCCAAACCTCGGTTTTTAATTAGGAAGACCAAAGACGGCACGCAGCTTTCGTGCAACACCGTCTTCCGTGTTACATCCTATTACTTCAAGGTGCGGCAATGCTTCTTTCAGCCTGGATTGCGCATTCCCCATCACACAACCCTTCCCAGCCATTTGCAGCATCTTGAGGTCATTCATTCCATCGCCAAAGGCTATTATTTCTTTTGCGCTAATGCCCAGCAGCTGGGCCACTTCGCACATGGCATTACCCTTGTTGACGCCCCACCGCACTGTGTCGAGAACAAGGGGATGTGACATGCTGTGTTCCACTTTACCTTGGAAGCGTGACTCCAGAACCTTCTCCACACGTAGTAGCACTTCGTGTTCCCCCAAAAAGAAAACAGAATGTACCCCATCATGTGGACACGTGTTGAGATCCATTTCCTTGTAGCGGAAACCGGAGCCCGCGTACGCTACAAGCATCCTCTCCGAGCCCCGATTTGTCAGCCACTCTTCATGTCGATAGAAGTTGGTTGCGAATGATGAATCTTCCGCGTCTTGGTTTTCATCGTCAAGTTTTATGTTGATAAGTTCCGAAACGACTTCAGGATCCACATCATGCGTGACGATTGCACGTCGCTGCGGATCAAACACCCTCGCTCCGTTGCTGGTAATCAGGTAGCCACCATGCAAGCCGCACTTTTCGACGGTATGAAACACATCGAAATAGGCACGACCGGTGGCAAAAATAATCGCAATGCCTTTATTTTTCAGCAGCCGCAGCGTCTCCGCCGTGTACTCGGAGATGCTGTGATGCTCGTTCAAAAGTGTGCCGTCAAGGTCTGTGACCACCGCAAGATACGTCATGGAGGAAGGATGACCGTATTTACTTATAAAATGCAAAAATTCTTCCTTGATAACTTTAATGTCCCCTCCAAATAGTTGTGAATCCAATGGCTGTTGGTAGCTCATAAGCCCAATATATACAAAAAGAGAAGGTCGACAGAAAGAAGGAATAAAAAAAAAAAAAAAAGGAGGTGCACCGGCACGCCTGCGACGGAGATTTACGTAATGCCTTCACTCCCCCCTTTGCCACTCACTGGCATCCACCGCGTTTTTGGCAAAGGCACAACAACGTGCGAAAGGAGCAACATCCCCCCCCCCCCCCCCTCAGTCTAAGAAACTCTCCATTTTGTGAGAAGCCTCAAGAGGGATACAATACACATAAAAAAGAAACGATGCATCACTAATATTGACTGTGGCGGAGCAAGGATCCTGGCAAAACATGCACACAGTGGTACTCTAATGCCTGCTCAGGATTGCTTATTTCCTCCCCACACTCACTGCCCCTCTAGAAGATACAAAGATAGGTATTTAATCCCTGCAAGAGCAAAAGAAAACAAAAACCACCACTTTATCAAACAAAAAAGCAAAGAATCGGCATCAAAAAAAAAAAAAAAACAAACGAACAAAAATACAACATTGCATCGCCGTCTTCCTATAAGCGGTATTTCACACCACTTTCTTCATATATGAATGCTGATACCCTTCACAAGACCTTTTGCCTTGGACACTGCTCCCTTTGAGGTCTTTTCCGCACGAACCCCAGTAGAAGCAGCATTATGAGGGGCGGTAGCGTCAGCATTAGCGTGTACGCTCTTGGGCATCTTCTTTATAGATTCTGGTGGAGTGGGAGGTTTGGTTTGTTTGGGGGATCGTTTCGGGCTGGGTACAGTCTTTGTTTGCTGTGCGTGTAATTTTTGATTGCCCATGGGTACCTTTGCCTCCGCATAATTTTTCCTTGGCCGACCTACACGTTTGACAGCGGCAGGAGGAACCGCAACGCGCACATTCGAACCATGCTGGGGTGGTTCCGTCTCTGTGGCCTCCAAAGCCTCGGCGGTTTCTTCCTCCTGCTGCTCCTTTTCTGCCGGGTGATACTTCGTGCAACGAAAGACGAGATGAAACACCGCCGTGACGCATCGACTCAACTCATGCCGCACCTTTCTAGCGGAGTCGGCAGGAACGCCGTTCACAGACGCAATGAGTACGGAGCTGACGTAAGGGAGGGCGTCCTTGGTAAGGAATTGTTTGGCCACCACCGACCCATACAAGGCCTCCTTCGGCAGCGGGTCAAGGTAGATCAGTTTCTTTCGTTGATGGATGCTTAGTTCCCATGGTTTACTTGTGGAGGAACGGCTGACGCTAAGCGTCGCACACGGCTCCACCTTGTTTCTGTCGATAAACTCATTCAGTGTGAATGACAGGAACGTAAAAGGCCGCGCAATGTGTGTTATGCGGGTTAAAAACATAAACGCCACTGCCCTGATCGCGGCTACAGCGTGTGTTCGTGTATGCGAATTGCAAGAATGTCGGTAGTTACGTGAGTTTGCTTCTCACTTGGAAACACACTGCATGCAGGGAAAAGAGTGAAGGATACAAGCCAAACAAACCAACCAACCAACCAAACAAACAAACAAACAAACAAAAAAAGAGATGGAGAGAAACCAGGCCCCAGCAAAGGGAAACGTAATAAATAAATAAATCGTTACATTCGTTCAGTAACAACTTTCAGATGCAGCAAGCAAACGGGAAACAAAAAAAAAAAAACTCATCCCGGAATATATTCCTCTTCCTCGTCCTCGTCCTCCCCACTTTTGTCCGTATCGCCATTACTCTTATCCTTATTACGAGAGGATGATTCCGACATTCCCCTGCCCTCCGCGCCACTGGCACTCTCGGAGCAGTGACGTTTTGCCGCAGGCGCTACAGAAGCCTCATTCCGCTCCAACGCCTCTCGGAGGGCAGTCACCCTTGAGGAGAAGTTCACACTATGCCTTGTGTCATACGCCGCACGACGCTCCGGGTCGGAAAGAACCATGTACGCCTCAGTGATGCGCTGGTAGCGCTGCTGCACCTGGGCCTCATTCGTCGTTTCCGTATCCTTTCGGTACGCCACACGGTCCGGGTGCAACTTCAGTGATAACCTCTTGAACTGTCGAGCCAATTCTGCCTGACTAACGTTCACCGGCACGCCCAGCACGGAGTACAACGGCGGCGGGGAGGATGACACACGACCAGGCAGGGAATCCATGTTGTCACGTCCCCCTCCCTCTCTCTCCCTCTAAAAACAAAACAAAAGAAAAGAAGGAAGAGGCTATGAAATGTCAATAATCGCCAGTACTACCATACATATTTATTTATTTGTGGGTAGATAACTGTGTCATCAACGAGGCAAATGCAGAGGCCACACCTCCATAAATGGCAGCAAAATACAAATACGATGGAAAAAAAGAGAAGAATAACAACAACAACAACAACAACAAAAAATGCATGCGTACATATCCGAATCCAAGTAATGATGGTTTACAACAGAGAACAAGAGACTACGGTGCGGAAAAACCAAATAGAGTGAGAATGACGTCGCCTGGAAGAAACTCCGAGAGGTCCGAAACCACGACTTTTCGAATGTCCAACTCACCCTTCACTCCTTCACGGCAGCCACAGCAGGCCGGCGCATTTGTTCCCGAATTCGTGGAACATAAAGGGACACACAGTGCCTCCTGAAAGAGAACCCGACGTTCCCACAGGCACTGTGAGACTACAACTTCCCGCGCCTGCTGCTGTTCCTCCATAAGACGACAGCTCGCGTCTTGAAGCTTTTTTTTCTGGACTTTCCCGTACATTGTGTCACCGTACTCGACCAGCCAAATGTGTGCGGTAGCGGGAGTGAAGATACATGCCGCCTCTTCATTCACAATACGCAGTCGCATTTGTTCTTCTTCCTCTACTAACAACCGCACCTCATGCTTGAGCATCCATCGCCGCACCACGTACTTCTCCCTATCTCTGCAGAAAAAAGCAAAAAGCATCAAACGATTCATTGTTCGCAACTTCTTCTCAAACAGCATGATCCCCCCTCGATGATACCGCTCATATTCCACCAAAAGTTGAATGGTCACTCGCAGCCGTGTGCTTTGAAGTTCTCGCTCACGATCCGCCAACTGGACTTGCATCAGTGTGCGAGAACGACACAAAAACTCATCCGGTTGAATATCTTTTTCCAACGCCTCGGTTTCAGCTCGACAAATAATCTGCCGTTCATGAGCCTCCACATCCATCACCACCTTCTGCATACGCAGTTCCTCCTCTGCGGCAACAGCACGTCGAGAAAGACCTTCATATGTATACATGAGGAAACAAAACTCCACAAATTCATGCATCGTAATTTCTGCCCGCGTGCCTCTCTCCACACCAACGTTCTTTACAATTGTTAGATATGTAAAGTATGGAAAAATAAGAGACCCCTTCAAATCTACCATACGACGCAGGTATTGACGCCTCATTTCAAGGGATTTCTCTCTTGTGGTCTTCACTTGTGGACGATGAGGCTTCTGAAGGATGGTGTATGCATTTTTCCCATTCGCCAGCTTTACGCAAAACGCATGATATTCCATAAGCGTTTCAAAACGTTCCGCCTCATCCCTTCTAATTTGCTGAATTCCAGTAAACGCTGAAACACACAGTCTATGTTTCCGATGACAGACAGACAACTCCTCCTCCCGCTCGACAAGCAAGGAGTCCTGTAGAGAGGCATTTTCCCCAACCACGATGGATACAAAGAGACACAAAAGGTTCACCTCCGGCTCCAAAGGTATCGCCGACTCCTCAAGGACTTCCAAATCCCAAAGAAGATGCTTACATGGTAAAGGGGCTCTGCAAGATACATATTCGCTAAGGAACGATAATCTGGCAAGCTTCTCTTCTCGAATGACCTCAGTCAACTGACGCCACGTCTCCAGCCGCTGCAAGAATTCCTTCCAGATCATCACCTTCCCTTGCAGTAGCTCCTGAAAGATCCCCACCTTTCTCCAAAGAAAGGACCATGGCTCAACTATGTCACGCTCACGACGGGCGGATTCCTCCTCTTCTAGACGCTTCAGCGAAGCGTTTTCACTGTGAATGCGTTGAAAAACCCCCGTGAAAGACCTTTTCACCGTGGTCACCAACTCCTCCTCAGTGGTGATGATAGGTGGATCTCGCGTAAACCTCCAAGGAGGCCAAGAGCCCTCAGCTTTCTCATCGCTGTAGTACTGTACAGGTGACATTGCAAGTGAGGTCGACACAATGAGAGCACGCTCCTGCTTTTCCTGATACATGAGCCAATGTAACGCACGCTGAAGCGACGCCATCGACCTTCGCTGACACGTTGCCCTTCCTTCAGATCCTGTTGTCAGCCCCATGAGCGCAGCACGGTGCAATGGTGCATACTTACCGCAGAGCAAAGAAAATTCACGCGACAACGTCTTATCACTACCGGCGATGCCGGGTAATTTTGGGCGGAATGTGACACTTGTTTTCTGTGCGGCCAGCGGTTCATACCGCGTTGTTGTCCGCTGCTGCTGTGGGAGCAAAGGTAGCAGACTCATGTGTTTCTCCCCCTTTTGCAGCAGCTGCCGGTACCCTCACAAGGAGGAGACAACAAAAGCAGCAGCGGGTGCCACGCACAAAAGGGGGGGGGGGGGGGGGGGTGAGAACAGAGAGAGAAAGGGAAAGAAGACCGGCATCAGTATTCACATCATGCAAAAAGGGAGTGAGGGAAAGAGAGAGAGCACGCAACAGCTGCCTCTAATTCATGTTTGACCACCTTCCCGCCCACCCCTTGCAATCTCTCTGATGATACAAGCAACAACGTGTGCCAAACGGACCTAAAAGACACAAACTTCCTTTGGTATAAATATCTATATATATATATCTTCTGTTTCCATTTTTCCCAATATCTTTTTCCTTCATTTTGTTTATTTCTTTCCTCCTTCCAGCGCATCTTCGCATCGCCAATGCACATGTTGCCTCCCACAGTGCGGTCATCATGAGACTGAAACCCTCCACTACATGGATATAAATATAAATATTTACAAATATGTAAATATAAGACAAGACATCAGATCACTTCCACACATACACATAAACATACACAGAAATATAGACAAACAGACAGGCAAATGCATAAAAACAAGCCCATTTTATTCATTACAAAACGTTATTATCTTTAATAATGACAGTAGTGAGACTAAAAACAGTTATAATGACATACATACATACATGCATACGTGCGTGCATGCTCCTTTTGTCTTCACCTCTCTCCGTACATTATATATATATATATATATAAACAATAACAACAACAACAACAACAACGAAAAAAAAAAACGGAGGACAGAAATACACGTCCTACTGAGTTCATATATATATATATATATATTTATATATTGCCACATGCTCACTACGTAACAAAACTTTTCACGGCGTGAGTGTTTGAGTGTTGCTTGACGCATGTTTCTTTCCGTCTACCCCTTCCTTACGTATCAATAGGACGTGGTAAACCGAACATGAAAAGAAGCTCGTCAAGAAGGCAGCAGACACACACAAATATATATGAATAAACATACATGTGAGGCATAATAATTATTATCATTATTATAATTATATCGACATGAAAGGGGGGGAAAGGGGGAATTCGGTTTGGTCAACGGAAAAGCCAACAAACACAACCAAAAAAAAAAAAAAAAAAAGTAGACGAGAAAGAACACAAACAGACAAACAAACAAAAGACAAAAGGCAAAATAAAAATGAAAACAAAAAAACAAAAAAAAGAAGAAGAAAAAAAAAAAAGACAAGTCTTCTCTGGTGTATAAAATAAAGAGGCACAACACTGGCAGCAGCTGCAGCAGCTATCAATGATGCACATACCACCCAGCACTTACGGGCATTATTACAAGAAATGCACACTCTACTGCAGCGAGGGGGTTGCACCGGGACATTCCTCTTGGCCAAAGCGGAAAAAATAAAAGACATTCATCGCACTTCGTTCCAGTGTCGAGACAAACCCTAGAAAGTCCAGATATAACCCCATTAACCGCATCTCGTTCTTGTACCGTGTAAACATAATAGATTTTTCCTCCACCATCTGTAACAACATATTGCGTATACGCCTCCATTGGAGTTGACCCATGCCCCTTTCAAGAGATGCGGTTGGCATAAGAGTTTCAGTGGACCACGTCCACTCCTGTTCAGTAGAACGTAAAATTTGCTTAAATTCCAGTGCCTCGCAAGTCAATATTTCATGGCGTTCAAGATGTTCCAAAGAAAGAGGGAGAGGCAAATGCTTTCCGAGATGGGTGGAACACGATGGGCATGTAACTGGGAGAACTGTTGATTCAAACAGGGTGGAGTCTTTCACTTTATAGTGGTCCTTCGCGTGCGCTGCAGGGGAAGTTGCGTTCATCGGATCGGTTGCACTCAGAAACGACACAGGGGTATTTAAGACCCAATCACCGGTTCCACAAAACGAGCGGTACAAAATTGATGCATCCTCGCCAGGACCCGTGTCCGCTTCAATGATATCACTACCCACTGATATTGTATTATCATCTTCCGAGTAGGCCCGAGCGGAAGCCCCACCGGGCCCAGCGAGGCTGGTTGCAGCACTTTGCTGCACAATATGACCCAATGAGCTTAGACCTAAACGTTTGCTCCTATGCTGTCCCCCTGTTGCATGTCCATATTGTCGTGAACGCTGGGAGGAGGCGGAGACATCTGACGTCAAATCAAAGTATAAACTAACAGACAAATCAAATGCCTTAGGAACTGTACTGGATGTCACTGAGCGTAACCCTCCAAGAAACGCTTCCCATCGACTGTGAATGCCTTTGCTCTGGTTACCTGCTAAAGAAAAGCTAATATTAGGAATATACTCGAGCGCGTCCATGTTATCTCTTATTATCGACCGATTTGAGAGTAAGACTTCCTCCCAGAGTTTATATCGGAGATGTAGGATAACGTATTCAACAAAATGCACACGCAATGCAGCGTTGACACGTCCAAGCTCACCTCCAATAACAGAGCGAGGCGTGGGTGATCTAAAAGAGGTATTTTTCTTCACACCAGAGCTATTATTTGAAAATGACGTAGAAACAACCGCAACTGTACCTTTTTTACTCACTTGTTGTTTCCTCCACGGACGTACCACACGGTGCCAACCCGGCCACCAATATTTTTTTGGTGAGAGAGATGTGCTCTCAGCCTCAGTCAAGTTGTATTCCGTGTAACTGGTGTCAAGGTCAATCTCAACAAGATAATTAAGGAAAGATGCAATAGTATTCCTCGCTGCAGTAAATATAGCCGCTGCATTGTACACAGTTGCCTTCCAAAGACGCCATCTTATCAATTCTTGCTCCATCACAAGGATATAAAGTTCCTGAATAAATTCTTTCCATATTTCCATCCGCTGCTCCATTTCAAGTGCATTCATGTCATACATTAACGCATATCGATGCTGATTACAGAACAATGGATGCTGTTTACGTGTATGTAACACGCCTTTATCTCGAACCTTTTTATTTTTGTAACCCCTTTCCCGGGAGAAAAAGGAATTATGGCACCCGGGTGAGACAATCTCATCCGATTGCAAAATCGACTTTTTTGGTTTCGTTCCAAAAATAAAAGACATCTTTTTACTTTGACAGGAATTCTTTAAACTGATACTGTCCCTCCTTTCCTCCTCCTGGCCCTCTTGTCGGATGCTGCGTCCCGTCTCAAACCTCGGCAAGGGTTGGTTGCGGGCACCCGTCGCCCCACTCAAATTTGCAAAACCCCCGGCACTCGCCAACGTCAACTGAACCAACACTTCAGGATCCGAGCTGTTAACAAGAAATTTGAGCGGCGGGCTCACGTTTTGCACGGGGGAGCTGATCAGCCCAATTCTGTTGTCCTGCCGCCTAAACGACGACCCTGACGGCATGCAGGAAGAAAAAAAGAAGCCACTAAAAAACAATGACAAAAAAAAAGAAAAAAAAAAAAAAAAAAAAGAAAAAAACACAATACGCATGATTCAGTCAATACCACTTGCCCTCTCTTTATTGCTCTCCTTTCAAACACACAAGTGACACGTGCATATCTCGTATGCATTAAAAGTACACACAAGCACAAATCATTTGCCCAAATGAATAGCAATTCCTCAAACGACTGTTAGCTTATCATGAGGTTACAATTCCGGCAGATCTGACAAGAGGAAAAAGGAAAAAAAAATGGCATGTGGCCACCGACACTTCTTTACTCCACAGACCTTTATACACAGAGGGGCGGGAAAGGCATGCTGAGAAAGTCATTGAGTGACGTTCCATTCTCCTTTCATATCTTTGTTTTCTAACAGTCCTTTAAGTTTGTGTCCTCGACAGTAAACTGAAGGCATCGCAGGTGTCCATCAACTCACGTGCGGCAAGCCACGTGTTGTGCCGTTCGACCGCGGCTGTCAATGGCCTTTTCGTTTCCTGCAGCAATCCGTCTGTGAGAACCGTTTCCGTGTCATAAATTTCATCGGGGGTTGTCACTGGCACTGGCGCATACGCCCATGAAATGGCAATGTGTGTGTTGGCGCCACAGCACTGCGGCTGCGGTTCATTATGCAGCGGTGGGGGTGAGGGAAGAATCCAGCGCGGCCTGCCATTCGTGCTCGACCGCCACCGCCGTGACTTGCTCAGGGCGTAATATGGCGACGACAGCCAATCCATGAGATATGCCTCACGGCGGCAAAGTTCCACAACGGCCCGCACAAGCGGCACATTATACTTTGCCATGTGGCAGTAAAGAATAATATCCATGAGTTCGTTCAGGCAAACTCTCACAAAAAATGCCAAAGAAGGTGCAACTGTTGCACCGTGCATAGAGAAACGTGTGCTGATACCATCCGTGTCATATGGCTCAAGTGACCACAACGCCACATGCAACTCCCCTGCAATCGCCTCTATTACATCCGCCTTCAATTTGGTTGATATTTTTTGCGTCCCACAGTTTCTCAGAATCTCATCTAGGCGGAGTGCTGTGAAGACGTAATCCAAGTGTTGGTTGCTCTCCAGTACCGTGCGGAGGGCGTCGACAACAGACGTGTTCGTCAGCGTGCGCCAGTTGACCTCCGGAAACAACACAACCAGCCGGTGGCAAACAGAATGTCCCCAATTGTGGTCGCCAATGCACTCCATTCTTTGAAACCCAGCGTCCCGGTAAAACTTGTTGGGGTCGGTTTTATCCTCATTTGGCGTCGTGAGTTTCAACAAACCCAACTCCATCAAGGCATGAAGCTTCTCCCGTAACTGTGACGCCTTACGCCCCATGAGATGACGCCACAGATTCTCTGGCGCCATATCGGGTGAACACTTCGCCGTGACATACTCATTGCCTGTTTCCGTCTCGCCAAACTCTTGCATGTGTGGGACGAGAGTAAAACAAGAGGAATGACCCAGCACTCTTTCCCACCGCCGCGTTTCTTCCAGAAAAAAGGCGCTAGATGCTTCCGGAGACACACCCACAGCGCCGCTGGGGTGCCTCTTGGCTCTGGCGACTAACAGCCACATGATCGATTCTACAGATTGATGCAATACTGACCCAGTGTGCGTCAATCCCCTGAACTGCACCTCGCCGCATAGCCGGCAGCGATTAGAATTGGGGGGAAGGAAAAACTCCTCTGGCATGCGAGAAGTAGGCTGAGGCGCAGAGACGAGACTATGGCTCATTTTTCCATGACTAGTAGCAGTAGAAACGATTCCCTGAGTTCCCTTCAGCCGCATGGGAACCACAAAGAAAAGAGACGGATGCACCCGTCGTACGGACTGCAGCATCTGCCGCAAAAATCGCCTCGGCCAGGAATTGTAGGAGCGTCAAAAGACATTCACGCAATCAAGCTTCCCTGAGCGCCTGTCTCCCAGAGAAGCCCCTTCAATCACGTTTCGCAAACTTACATGAGACAGAAAGACAGACAGACACACAGAAAGAGAGAGAAAGAGAGATACAAAGGCAAATCAACCAAACGCACAGAATGAAGCGGGGTGCTGCGGCAGAACAAATAATGGGGCGTGTAAGAACGAGAATAAAAGCGGAGCCGAGATTTATTTATTTTACCACAAAATTTCCACGTCTTTACTGCATCATCAAAGAGAATACGTGGTGAAGGGTATTCGTGTACATTTGTATGCGTGTGTGTGTGTGTGTGTTTGTATGGATGTAGAGAGAGAGAGAGAGAGAGAAAGAGGAAGAAAAAAAAGATATGGGGGAAAAACAAGATACAATAAATGAAACAAACAAAGAAACAAAACAATAAAACAAACCATTTTCCCTCTTCCTTTTAGTTATTTATTCTTTTCTTCCCCCCTCCCCCCTTTGCCGCGGTTGAGAGTTACTCGCGCGGCCGGTATGAATAGTTGCCATTCTGCATGGGTAATTTTCCCAGTGCCATGCTCGGCGCCCTCCGCCGTCGCTCAGCCGCCAGTCGCTCGTAATCGTTCTCCTCCTGATGCAATTTTTGCCGATATTGGAATACGCTGAATTCCTTATTAAGAAGCCTCTGCTCCTGCTCGCGGGAGTCGGGGTCATTCGCCCTCTCCAACTCCCCCAACTCGTTTCGCAGACGTGCCTTCTTCTCTTGTTCCTTCGTAAGTTGCCTCTGTACGGCTTCTAGGCGTTCTTCTAGCGCCTTCCTCTGAAGCTGAAGCTCGTCCACAGCCGCAGAATTCTCACGACGCTCCTGTTCGATAACTTTCCAACGTTCATGGATGCCCAAACGCAAGTAAGCAACATTCACCGTCTGGACAAACTCCCGTGCAAAGTCGTAGAAATCCTGATGCGTCATGACCGCCTCACCTCGTTTTTCCTTTGCAAAAAAGCGATGAAGGTCCTCCACAACATCTGCTGGGAACTCAATCTGACAGGTATGGAAAATGCCCTGAAGGTCACGCACAGTCAAGTATCCCCGCTGGTTTGAATCCCCAACAGCAAACACCACATCCACCTGTTCAGATGTGAGACCTTCCGTTAAACCAAAATAAACATTGCGTCCGTGCTCCGTGGCTGGCACAAGCGTGCCATTATTCGTCACCCCTCCACAAGAGCTCGCATGAAATACGGGTGCAGTGTTGCTAAAATCGTTTGTTGTTCTTCGATTCTCACTTCTTGTCCCAACAGAAGCGCCTGGTCGCTGTGATAAATAGGGGATTATTGGTGTCGATGGGGATTTGTTCCCTGTGTGGTTTAAGCCCATCCCATGCTCCGCATCCACCTTCGCCACGTCTAATAAACGCAAGCCAGAAAAGTACAAACTGCTGCGTGGCGCTGGGATATCGCGCCGTGTCGATATGTCAGCTCTTGTTGCATGCTTGCGAAACACGTACAACTGATCGTGCACCCGCAGTTGGCGTACATCCGTTAGCTCTACCCACCCCTGTGTATCTTCTTCATACCTCTGCACGCGGCTGACTGTAAACGGCTCCGAAGGACGAGTATATTTTTCTACCCGTTTCGTATTGATGTCGTTTTCCTCGCCGCGGAAAACGTGTTCCAGTGTACTATAGAGTTCAGCAAGTGCGGCCGGCGGTTCCCTGAACGGCAGCTCCACGTTAACCTTCTCCCCACGTATGTCCGTGCAGGCCAACACAGTAAATGACATCGCCTAATCAAACCAAGGCGTCGTTTAAAAGGAAAATGATGCTACGATAAAATGCGAGTGGTCGGGTTGTTGAGGGCAGCCACTACAACACACATATAGTGGGGAGTTCCTTTTCTTTAAAAATGTTTTTTTTTTTTTTTTTTTTTCCTTCTTTTCCTGTCGTTGTTTTTTTGTTTGTCTTGCGTGACTTGATGGCAATTTGCACACGCAACCACGCAGTGAATGAATAAACGATACAACACTAAAAGGATAAAATCCAACAGAAAGAAATGTGTTGCCTTCCACGTGTAGTGAAAGAGAAAGAAAGAAAGAAAGTGAGAGAGAGAGAGTTTAAATCTTTAAACAACAATAACGGCCAGTATTTAATGGGGGAAAAAAAAAACAAACAAAACCCGACCTGTTTCTTTTTCGTTCTTTACCGTTTCCTCCCTTCCCAGGGGCCCATGTATCCATGTATATATATGCATACATATATATATATATATATATAATAATAATAACGGCATATAAATTCCCGAGAGGACAACAACAAAAACAACAACAAAAAAGCACTGCAAGAAGAAAAATTACCATCGGGTGTATTCCGTACTCAAATTTCTGTAATTCGTACCATTTGGAATATGTAACGCATTAAAAGTGGAAGTTATGCCGCATCTACACATGCTCCCACCTCATATCTATTTCTATGTACCTAAGTGGCAGGGAAACCGCTTCCATCCCATGCGTTACATCAACAGCGGCCTGGAATGGCTTAGATAAGCGGGGTGGGGTGGGGGCGATGGCTTTGGGGGAACATATCCAGTACGCATAGAGTCACTCACCTGCGTTTCCTCTCAGCCGCTCGTGTACTCACTCAATGTGTCACAGACCTCTTCACTTGCAGAGGCAACTGCTGGCGGTAGTCAAAGAACTCCTCCCGCCACTTCACACGGCAAAGTTACGTACAAATACGCGCAGACACTGGAGGCTGAGTCAAAACAACAGTAAAATATTATTATATAATGGCGTCCTGCAGTGCTTCTTGTCTCGTTATTCTCGGTATCGTTTTTTTTTTTATTTTTTTATTTTTTTTGCTTTTTATTTATCTTTTTATAAAAATAAAAACAAAATTATGATGATAATAATTTAAAACAAACAAACAAACAAAAAAGACCAACAAAAAAAAATCAACAAAACAAAACAATGATGCGTTTTTCTTTTTTTTCCTTCCCTTTTAACATTGGAGCACTGGGACGCCGCGGGAAGGCAGTAATATACATGTTTGTTGGTGTACATTTTGTCTCTCCCTCTTTCTCATTTCCCACCATAACCCGTACAAATAAATCTCCCTCAGTTATTTTATACCCCTGTTGCCCATGACTGCTAGGATGCAGACCAAACATCTTTTAAATATCGCCCACTATTATTAAGCTTCGCGAGGTATGCCTGAGCATCTTCTTCAATCATGAGCGCCTTCTCCTGCAAGATTTCCAACAGCGCTCTTTCTACGTCTTTTGCCATGTACTTTGCATCACCGCAGAGGTAAATATTCCCTCCTTCGCGTAAAATGTCCCAAACTTCATCTGCACGAGCCAACACACGGTGCTGCACGTAGACCTTTGTCGCCTGCTCCCGACTGTAGCAGACATCCAACGCTGACAGCGTTCCGTTTTCCAAACACTCCGTCATAAAATCGCTGTAAATGTGATCCTCCTCTTTCCGCCTACATCCAAAGAAGAGAATTGCTTTGCCAAGTTTATTGCCCCTCTTCTTCCATGCGTTGCGGCGATGGAGAAAACCTATAAGGGGCGCCACGCCTGTTCCGGGCCCAATCATCACAATTGGCCGTTCCTTCTCTCGTAACGGGAGGTGGAATTTTGATTTGCGCACAAACACGGGAATTTTCTCTCCAATTTGCAGTTCCCGCAGCATTCCTGTACAAAGCCCTCCCTCTAAAATCGCCGCCGTGATGGAAAGTCTGCCGGGATGGGAGAGGAGATCGGAGGAAATCGAAAAGTAGCGAGGAGCAATACGTGGCATCATCTCAAGGAAAAACTCA